GGAATATCGTTCAGAACGTATCTCTTCAAGTAGTTGGTCCTATCCCTGCAAACACTGTAGCTCAAGTCATCACAAGGTATTCCCAAGGAGCGGCATAAGTAAGTGCAAAAACGAGGAACGCATGTTTCACAGGGGCAGTCGTGTTTATGGGATTTGAATTTTTTATAGGAGGAGACAGAGCAGACACCAAAGGCGCTCGGGATAGGGTAATCCTCTGCAGCCGGCGAAGACCAAGCCCCACTAATACCCACTATGCTATCCCTCCAACCCTTTTCAGATTTTATTGTGTCAGTGCATATGGACATCTTCTCGAACGGGTAGAGGTGGTAGAAGGGCTCGTTAGTACGGATCTTACTGACCTTATAGCACAGAAGGAGGTCTATGAGGTCAAGGTCCAGATTTCTGTCACGCATCAATAAGAGCATAACAGATATGATCCTAAAGAAGTTGGGGTTGACCTGCAGAGGGGATATCCCCAATCTGTTGAAGACGTAACTAAAGAAAGGGTGCAGAGGGAACCTAACAACATTCAGTTGAAGGTTTGTGAATAAGACTTCGCCGGGCAGGAGGCCGGCGCCGGTCGTAATATTAACGTCTTGGGGGCAAACCCTAACTACGATGTTGTCAGGAAGCCTAAGTCTCATACGAAGGACACCCAGATCTACAACCATGGTGGAAGTGCAAGAAGAATCTAAAAGAGGGAAAATGGAAGCCTGCCGAAAGTAAAAAGAACGAAACTAACCTCGGAGGACTGCAAGATCGCTGGGAGAATGACTCTCGAAGGATTTCACCGGAAAAGGCTTAGCACAGTTCTAGAAAGAGGGAGATTTGGCTGATGATGGAGACGGTAAAGGGAAGTGAAGTGGAATTCGAGAGCATTATATAGGCAAGGGGGCCCGAGGGCCGAAGCGTCGGGAAGGCAAGAAATCCCTCGAACCCCGGAACATTGATTCTGGATCTGACCGTTCGCTCCCCCACGTGGTTATCTCGAGCCGTCAGCGTCATGATGAGACGCCATCAATAATTACCCCTTATTAAATAAGGGGCAATTATGGGGGCAGTTGAGGAGGCCCTGGATGACATGGGCCAGGTCCGACTCGCAAAACACAACCTTCAGTCCGAACAGCTGGGTCAGCCCATAAAAAGACACTGCCATATGGGCTGAGCGGGAGTAAGCCCATCAAGAGTGACCAGGGCTTACTGAGGAATAGGCCCAGGTCCAGCAATTAGTAAATATCTTGTAAATATCTTGTAAATATCTATAAATAGGAGTTGGAATGAAGAGGAGGGGGATCTTGATTCGGGTTGAGGTGTAAGAATTCTAGAGAGAGAAAGAATAGAAGGAGTTTCTTGCATCTTCAATATTAAAAGCATACTTCAAACAAGGGGGTAATATGAAAATTTTAATTTATTTAATAGATGACATTAGAAAAAATCTTCATTGATTCGCGATGACAGTTAAAAAGAAAATTTTGTGTAACAATGTTTCATTTGTATGAGAGGTTCTTATAATTTCTCAAATTATATGGGAGATTCTTGTAATTATGAAAAATTATAGGTGAAGTTCGTATAATTTATCTAGAATTATATTTATGTTAAATATAATTTTTAATATTATATAAAATAGTATAATTGTTCGTAATTATTTAATGTTATTTAATTACATAACATTATTATAAGGTTATATATAATTTTATATAATGTTTTACTATGTATATTATTTATAGAGATAAAATAATATATTTCCATATAGAGAGAAAGAGAGTTGGGGTTACTGTGCCTCAAAACTTGTTAGTTTTGGGGCACATGACTTTACACATGATCCCTACCAAATAACACATGATCCCTACCAAATAAGAGAAGATTTGAATCGTTTTAGAGTGTTGTACATTTGTAAAGAGAAATAAGATTTTAAAATATTGAAAAGTTTGTAAATATTTATAGGGTTTGGAAGATTTTAAAATAATAGAAGAGAGTTTAGTGAGTGGTAGTAAATATCTAAAATATTTATCTAGGTTCTAAAGATAAAATGTCTATAAATAGATAATTATGTTCACAAATGATAAGAGTGAGCCATCAAGATTGTAGTAAGCCACAATTGTATTCTTGCCGAGTAATAATAAACATATTATTTTCTTTTGCGAACCAAAGTGTCATATTATTATTATTATTTTTTTTTTAAAAATAATAGAATTTAGTCATATTTAAATATTATTATATATAGAGGATATGATATAAGATAAATAATACTGAGCAATACTTTTGTTGAAAGTTTACTGGGAGAATATTGATGTTGATTCTTGAGGATTTTTTTAGTAATATTTTTATTTTATAAATTGTTGTATGCATTCTTGTATAATTGAATAATTAAAATAAATAAAAATCATAATATAAAGTATACTAATATTCTATATATATACCTCATAAATTTACATTTTTCCATACGTACAAAAAGTCGTACTTACACATTACTTAAATGTTACTCATGAAAGAATGGATAATCGTCAAAAAAAAAAAAGTAGAGATGCCATAAATTTGATTGGGTATACTAACATGAGCTAAAATAAAATTGTCAGTAAAAAAAATATATATTAGAGAATTTTAAAAGGTTAAAAAAAAAAGAATTCAATTCAAAAAATAAAATGCAATTATTATTTTTTAGCCACTAAAATGTCATCAGGTGGTGTGGAAATTAAATACATCATGGGAACTTGGGAAGTGCATGGGTGATAAATATTGTTGGTGCCTACTGCCTACTACACGAGTTATGAATATAATGTGATAGTGAACCACTGGACAATGAGTTATTTAGTCGTTCTCATCTTTCCATCAACATTCAACTGATACATGTATAAGCTATGTGCATCATTGATGCTAAAATTCCCATTTCTTCAGCGAGCACCCAACTGATATTGCGTCCATCTGTTAGTTGATTAGGGACTCAGGGTTTATCCTCGCACGAGACAGCTCGAAGAGTGATCCTCCAATAACTATGCTGCAATGGAAGGAGCTTTGGTTTCTCAGACTGTGTTTCAAAGTCAGGGATTTGCAATGATAAGGTGGCCAGGTGAAGCTTGTTGATAATGTGTTGCAATGTCACGATTTCATTGGATGTTGGGATTACACTAGACAAGTCAGCAAGTAACATTGCCGTTTTACTTAATAGTAATTTAGTAATCTCACATTTCCGACGAGCTCTGCTTAACTAACTTTTGAATTTGTCCTTAAATGGCACATTTTAAATAGTTGAGGGCATGACTTAGTTCATAGAGGTTTTGTGTTTTATGCTCAAAGTTTGTGAATGTTTATTGCATTTTACCCTAATTAAATTGATACTTTCATTACAATTTACGTTAACTCACAACATTTAGCACTTGAACACTCTCTCTCTCTCTATATATATATATTTTCATTTACGAAATATGTGTATCTAGGGCATTACTAATTCTCAAATATCGAGTAAAGTGTCCCCTTCACTCGAGTCGGCAAAATTCGGGCTTTCACTTGCGTGCATGGCCCCAATAAATTGTTTACACTTAAAGGGACCAAAACTTTAGACTGTGATACTTGATGATACACCCAAGTTTAAGTAACTAACCACTTGAGATTATATATTGCATTTATAAAGGGGAGAGTTATACCACTAAACTATAATAAAAACACAATGTAAGTTCCTCAAGGTGCGCGGAGAGAATAAGCCAATTCAGCTACCCACTTTAGTGGGACTCATTCTAATAGATATTAAGAGAGAGAATCAAATTAATAATCATAGTAGTAGATTCGCTGACTTATGGGGGCTCATTGTACATTTTCTCTCCTTTGTTCCGGATCCAACAAGACTGTATTGGTAAGACTTATACGTGAAGAGGGACGTTAGTCAACTCAAATATAAGTTAAATGGAAATCACAAAATTAATGGTTTAATTTCACCTACATAATTAATACAGATTGGTGGTAAAGAAAAAATAATAATTTAAAAGAGCAAAACAAACATATGATTGCCATATTTGATTGAAGCAAGTGGCATATTGTTTTGCAGGGTTGGAAATAGGGAAGGAGCCAGCCTTGGCCCATAATGGCCCATCGTTATTATTATTTATGTATATATATATATATATAACATTATAAAATGCCCACCTAAATTTTTATTTTTATTTTTCCCAAAAAAATCTCTCTTATTCTTCTTCTTCTTTTCATTTTTTTTATTCTCTACAAAAAAAAAAATTTAATAATAATAATTGCATTTAATTCAATTCCATAAGAGTTTTGTATGATTAGAGTATGGTGGGCTTTTCATGTCTTGTTCGAAGCATGTTTTTCATGGATCAGACAACATGGGCTTTAGTCATACAAATCGATTACAAGTAGAATGGTCATTTTCTCCCTCCTGGGTATGAGAAAAAGTCGTGTTCATGTGACAACCATAAAAAATTTCAACACTTACACTAAATTAATCATAAATCACATATACATGCATCCAATCACAGCTCATATTTGATGCAAATGTCCACCCATAATTAGTACTTGCAGTGGCGGATCCAAGAGAGGTCTTGGGTGGGCTTGAGCCCAACCCCACCCCAGAGTATTTTTAAATTTCTAATTTTGCACAAATTAAAGAACTCACTCGCTCTTTCTCTCTCTAAAAGTTTAACCCTATTTTTCTCTAAAATTTTCTAACTCTTTAATCTTTCGATTCTAATTCCCTTTTATTTAATATCAGCCCCCTCTATTAACAATTGCTGAATTCGCCCTAATTGCAGTCACATATACATTTACATAAAGAGGGAGAGTCAAAAACATAACTCTACAACAAGAACATGTGGCCTATGTACATGTCTACGTGACACCAAAAATCTATAGAATCCTTCTAATCAACACTCTTCCTCCTTTTTACAACCAAAAAAATAAAATAAAATAAAAAAGTACTATATAAAGTTGAAAAAGACCTATAGCACCTCATGGCTGATAGCTTCACCAACACCGTTAATGCAGTGATCAACTCAATTGACCTCTGGAATACTCTGTAGGGCCGGCCTCCACGACCGTTGATGCGTCTCGAATCGATCACTGACGTTCATCAACTGGGTTAGCACCTGCTGCACAGACAATCCTTGTACGTCGACCGTACCTAACATTTCCTCCAACTGCTCCTTTGTGATCTTGATCTTCACCTCTGTTACCATTTCCTTGTCCTCCCCAAGAAGTTTTTTATCTTCTTCTATCTTCGTGGCCTTGTTATACGACATGTCGTGGCCGGAAAAACTCTTTTCCGACGCCAGAGACCCCCAATCTTCGCCGCCCCAATGCACGGACGATTCTCTTATAAGACAATTTCCCATAATCTTAAATATTTTCAGTATATATATATTATATTTGTGTGTATGTATGTTTTGTATATCAATGCAGAGCAATCTAGTAAGGTTTTGGAAATGGGAGGTTTGTGTTATATATAGGAGGAGAAAAGGTGGTTATAGAGAGAGAGAGAGAGGATAGGTGGTGGAGTGTAGAGAGAGAAAGTGAGGGTTGAACCAATCCGGTTGCACCGGGTATGACTCGGATGTCCTACTTGGCAGGTGATTGAGGGTTGACCTCTCGCCCACCTATTTTGGATTGGTCTCAGCTGTCAAAGCTATGTGCTGACGTCACACCTACTTTAGCAGTTGCAGCCATTTTAATCGGCTTGGCTTGTCTTGGCTCACCGTACCATAACTTCTTGATTGTCTTCAACCATGAACGCAAAGTAAAAAACAGATATTTTTCTATATATATATATTTTTTTACTTTTCACACATCCCTTCCAAAAAACAAAAAAACACTTGATGATGTTTTGTATCGGATAGAGATGGATTGTAGAATTTATTCTCAATATTTGTCAACCAGAATTTTAGAACTTCAGAAAAAACAATCAATTTAAAAGTAGTCTCGATTAATGGAATTCCTAAACTGGTGTGGCGAAGCCACGAAGAAGTTAAGCCGAAAGCGCCTAAGAGGAAAACTTATAAAAATGTCTCGAGTGTGAAAAGGGTTGTGGATCGCATCTTGTGTTTTAAAGTAAGTGTGAACATGGCGTAGTAAGGTAGCAAAAGGGAATCTTTTGATAGCTTTTTCACGTGTGCCATGATTGTCCAATTAATTACGCGTACTCTCTTCTTTACGGTTTAATTATTCTATCTTTTTCCATTACCTATCATCATCAATCTTTATAGTAGGAGGAGGGTTGAAAAAACGAGTTTAAAAAAAAATCAAATAACAAATATTATTTATAATAATAAATATTGAACGATTTATTTTGATAATTTGTTGGAATAATCAGATTGAGTAATTATGAATTTACATACATGGACAACAACAGAAATATAAAATTATTAGATAGATATTGAGTGATGATGATATGATAATAGGAATGGTTATAGGAATAAAATTATTAGATAGATATTGAGTAATTATGAATTTACATATATGGATAACAACAGAAATATAAAATTATTAGATAGATATTGAGTGATGATGATATAATAATAGGAATGGTTATAGGATCAGATTGAGTAATTATGAATTTACATATATGGACAACAACAGAAATATAAAATTATTAGATATTTTAAGATCACTGAAATATATGACCGACTTGCTGTGTGGAATTGGAATTAACATCAAAATTCATACTCATTCGATTAAATCAAAATATTTTTCTAATACATTTGTATTTTGCGGTGCACTTGATGATTAAATTTAATTTAAGTGAATTTTATTTGTTTAGTTTATTGTCTTTCTCTCAAAAATAAGATTTTTTTTTTTTTTTTTTTGACAAGGCAAGAAGGATTAGAAGTTAAATTGGAATTTGACATTTCAATTTTTTTTTAAAACAATAATAAATAGGTATTTGTGAATGGGCGTTTCTAAAATAATAAAAAATAAATTATAGAAATGTCACTATTTGACAATGTTTTTATCACGAGTCACATCATAAGCTCCTCGTATTAAAATTTAAGTCATATAATTCTTCTAAGATAAATGATTCTTGCATAGAATAGTTGTAATAAATTATTAGACTCACAAATTATTCGATTAGACAATTCACGACAAATGTTCGATATAAAAATTACTATTATTCTTCTAAACGAATCTTATTTTTATGTTTTGTATCCCTCGTGAGCTTTCATTTTTTATTAGACTCCGTGTGATTTAAATTTTATTCGCAGATTCGCTCCTCGACCCACTTTATGTGGACTTTGAGGTTAAGATCCATGAACGGCCCACCAAAAATTCAATTGTCGATCATGTGAGCCTCCATGAAAGCTGACGTCACCGTCACCCACCAAGCCTCAAATGGCATGATGGTTGGTTAGACGTGGCAACAAGTGAATGCTTCCAAAGGCGCGGACCGCCACCTGCTCACCATCATCTGTGACCGTTGGTTCATTCATTGGACCGCCCTCGGATTTGGATGGGAGCTTATAGCTCAAATCAACTTCACAAGTAAAAAGTAAACAAGTCAATGGACTTAACTCAGCAGTAAAAAACTTATGATCAATTGTGCAAATGATTTATGTATTAGTGACTGATATGTTTTGGTTAGAGATCAATAATACTTTATTTTAAGAAAATTAAGATAAAAAGAGAATATTTAATATTTTAAATTTGATTTGGGTTTGATATCATTATATCGGTCAATATAGACTGTGTGACACTTCTAAAATGAGTTTACACCATTACACTTTGCAAGTGTGTTCAACAGTCTGATTTGAATTATTTATTATTTTTTTTGAAAATATTACTATAAAATTAATATTAATAAATACATAAAATAAAAATATTTATAAAATAATAATATAAAAGTGGATCATGATCGTCATATGCGATATATTATGATCCTAACACAATAATATTGATGAGAATTCATTTGTGCGTACTCAATTATTCTAGCTTAATTACAAAATGAAATACTTCGTAATTCTTTGCATCACGAGTGTAAAATGACAATGTATTCACTGTTTAGTTAAAATTTTAGTTGATATTTTTAAGATATAGAATTTTAAAAATAATATTTTTTTCTTTCAATAATGCCCTTATATATATACCCTTGTCTCTTCTAATGTGCATTGAGATTTATTTTCATCATTTTATATTTTATTAAATTTTTACTTAATTTTTAGAGTGACACTGATACCTTAGTCATTTTAGCATTCAAATTTTTATTTGCACCAAAATTAAATATTAAGGAGTTTTGAGAACGCATAAGAAGTTATATTTATATATTCCATATGAGCACATGGGGGTGTTTTTTCAACATCACAGTCCAAAGGATAAAGGTGTTATAGACGACCGATCAGACCAACGTGTTCAAAAATAATGGCTGTTGCAAAATTACGTACTATTGTAGTGTTGTTTGCTTGAGAGCAGTGTTTTTTGTGTTTCCAAGTAAGTAAACAAATTAAGTCATAGACAACGTGATATAAAAATATTCTCATGGAATCCTAGAAAAACCAGTACGTGCATACATGCTAGGGTTGATTCAATTCCAGTTGGTTGAATTCTATTCTGGTCAGGGTCCATATTTGCCACCTAAAATTTTGAACTTTCGTAAATTGGCACAGAATAGACCAAGTCTAGAACATAACAAATAATATTTGGTCTAATTTTGACATGATTAATTTGTGCACCACATATTTATCTGCATATAACAAAAAAAAAAAAAATTTGGTCACGTACACTTCTTGTCGAATCGTTTAGCTGATTTCAAACTCAAACTTAAGAACGTGATTGATAAGAAAAAATTGATATAAATTTAAGGCAAGCCCTAATTAATAAAAGAATTAAGGATTTATGTTTTCAGGAACACTTGTTTATCATGATGTTTGAAAAATCCAGTAAGTTGCATGACCTATTCAATGTAGGCTCATTTGCTTGAAATAATATGTTTGAATTCAGTAAATAAATGTAAACTAAAATTTTATCGAATCGAGACTAAATCGTTCATGAATAATTAAAATCATTTGTTGTGTGTTGGTCACATACCTCAAATGATATATTCCTCTCATTTTAAATATAAGGTAGACTATTTACATATCACTAAATGCGAAGAAAAATATTAATTGAGCGACTTGAGTTGGCAAATCACAATCAAAATAAATTAATGACATGACATGCCCCATTAATCTAATATTTACTTGCCGAGACTCGAATATGTATAGAATAATATGTATAGGTGTGAATAAGGGGTAGCAAAAGGGAATCTCTAATCGGTTGATTGTTCTATATTTTTATTTTACCGGATAAAGGGTTCGAATACTTTTTCACGTGTGCGATGATTGTCTAATTAATTACGCGCTTTCTCCATCAAGTTCTGATTATTCAAAATATTATTCATTGCTAGCTATCATAATCAACTTTTGAGTGGTAAATTAGTAATATAGACAAGTTTCTTAACAGAGCAAAAAATCAACGGTCTTAAACTAAGAGATGGGGGTGTTGGATAATTGTGAAGAAATTGGGTGATATGACGACCTGGGAACAAGCATAGTAATCGGATGAGATTGATGAGTCACCAACTTAACATAAAAATCAACGACATAAATGTAAAATATTCGGAGTAATAGGCAGACATTTTTAATCACTGTCCAAATATCGACGTATTTGACCGTGCCTAATGGGGTTAAGAAAATAAGTTAAATGTCCATTCAATTGAATCAACGTCTTCTTCTGATGACGTTGTGTTGAATTTTAACTGTATCATTTGTACTCTGAAAAACAGATTATTAAAAAAAAATTTAACTCCATTCAATTAATAAGACAAGGTCAGACTATTGGACTATATTAATAAAATTATAAAATTGTCACTTCAAATCTTTATTTAAGACATTAATAAATATAAACGTATAGGGTTAGAATGCAAATTGTTTGTAATTCAAATAAGGAATCGGATCCAAACCACACCAAAAATTCATAGACAAAAGTGAGCAACCACTACAACCTTTCATACTTCATCTTTCAATAACTACCACCATTTGATGATATTTAGCACTTAAGTCATATGAATTTTTCAATAGATATTGTTTTTACGAATATACTTTCGCTCTTACACTATGTTATTGCTTTCGTTTTCATTTTGTATGACTTGAATTTTATCGCTTTTAACCGTTCCCACTCTATATGACTTATGTTGATATACGTGCCACGGTGCCTATTGAAGTGGCACCCACTTTGGAAATAAGCACCCCTGTTCTTTGCTGGCCTGGCATACCTCTGAAAGGACCAAGTAGGTTCGAGCTACTTACTCTGGAATCTGAATTCACTGATCGAGAAAGGGATCGCTACCCTTCCTCTCCTGTGGACGTGC